TGTAAAAATGTCTTCAGTAATAACAATGATGTCAACTTGATAACAACAAAAACAATGATTTTATAAAAKTAAAATGACGATGATTACGTTAGTGATGACGTAACTTCCCATGACAAGTGACGTCATATCAATAGTGATAAGCATAATCATTTTCCAATGGAATAATTACAGAAATTGCGTAGTTCATCGTTATTCTGATCTTTTCTTGTTCTTGGGTCCKTGTGACATGCGCATTAATACTTTGTGCTTTTCTCAGGTCAGTTTGTCATGCGCAGTAATACAACCTTCAACGTCAGTGAATACAACTACGTGGAAATCATTCGTAGACAAAGACGTTTAACAATCGACATCAATAGAGGCTTGGAGGTCCAGAGTAAAACTATTCCAGGAACATTRTATTCTTTGGATCTTAAGGGAGCTGATCGTATATCGTATTTTGGTGGCGGACCAGGTATTAATTCATTGAATCGGTTTTCATTAAAATTCGTGGRGCTGCATATCTCATATTCCCCTTACATTATACATTAACTGAAGTGCTTTATCTAAAGAGCAATAACCYTGTCTCTACAAAAATAGCCCTGGCCCGAGTTGTTCAAAGTAGCGTTACATGTAATCCAGAGTTAACTCCATAGCTGGTTTTTTCTAAAAGTTAACCCAGCCGGGATTGGTGCTAATCGAGCTTTGAACAACCCAGACCTGTTACATGTCCTTTGGCAATGCCGAGCCCCGAAATCATTAACGGAGTAATGACGTTTGCTGAAAAAGTCTACTGTTATCGKTAATCAACTCTTATAAAATTTAAGATTAGAGACTATTCTAAACAATTGATTGTATAAAATCAGAACGCAATATTCTTTTATAGGAAGTTTACCCCTTTCCACAAGCCAAAGAAATTTCAGTGGGTTTCTGCARCAGTTAAAATTCGATAGATTTAAGGTTCTAGACAAAGTGGTTAAAAGTCCGTATTCTGACAAGAGGTAAGTTTAATTGTTATTATTGATATAATTGTTGCCAGTCAAAGTTGTTGTGCATACTGTTGTATTTTCGTTGTCGTTGTCCTTTCTGTCGACACTGTCCCCGCCATTGCTATCGTTATGCTCTCTGTTTCTTTCATTGTATGAGTTGTTATTGCTATCGTGATTGTAGTTGCTGTCATTTTCGATACTGTTGTTGTTGTTGCTATTGTTTGTCGACACCGTGCTCGTCTTTCTCCTTGTTGTCATTGTTGTCACTGTAGTCAGTTTTTGTCACTGTCGTAGWCTTTATCGTCACTGTTTTAAAACACTATCGACACTTTTTTATTTTTGTATAATTGGTCGTTTTTTCACATCAATGCTATTGTCATCTGTTTGCGTTGACGTTATTGTCATTGTTCTTTAGCTATAACTGTCCGTAATTTACTTGACAAAATGTATATATTATATCTTCTGTAGATTTGGTGTCGGTGGCAAGGTTGAAAATGGAGCTAATCGGATGGATTTGTTGCCACCAGACAAGTCTATACCAGGGTCAGGGTGCAGTGAGCTAAATGACGACGAAGACAACGAAGGATGTCGACCAACAACCCCTAAATGCATCACACCCGAATGCATCTTTGGTAAGTCATGTTGCTATAACAACACCAGGAGCGGATCCCGAGGGGACAAAGGGSRTACGAATAGCCCCCCTTCAGTAGAAAAAAATAGAATTTTTAGTTGTGATGATTTCCATGCATCAAAGTATTTGTGTGAACAAAAAATCAAGCGATAGAGATCATCAAATGGCAAAAAGTTTATCACTTTTGTCTGAATCCGCACAAAGCCGTCAATATTATGTTTTRTATCTTGGAACGTTGGCCAAACATGTAAGTAGGGCAAATGCATGTATTGGCAAATGGTGAAATAGTCAAAGCATTACTCAAGCTTACGTTCTGGATAACACAGTTTTGTCGAATACGATTTAAAATTATTGATGTTCAAATCCATTTCAAGGAAGAGAAACAGCGAATCCAGACACAACAACACAGCCATCAATAGCAACACTTCCTACTGAGACAGTCGATGGCACACCCACCCCTGGTGTAGTAATGAGTCTTCAAGAGCCGCCAGCTCCTGATCGTCGTACATCCCCCTGGATTATTATCATCATTGTTGTAGCAGCCGTCGTGGCTGTTCTTATTACAATCTTCTTTCTCTACCGCTGGAATATTAGGTAATAAAAACTCAATCTAAAAATTCATTGGTTCAGACGCAAGGTAGATTCTTGTTTACCCAGAAATGCATTGCGTGCGGACTAGATTATCGCTATTATTCTTATTAATCTATTTATTACATCATCATTAGGTATTCAGGATCATTCAAACCCAGTAAGAGTGAGCCTGGGGAGGGAGTTAAGCCCTTGTTTACCCAGAAATGCATTGCGTGCGGACTAGATTATCGCTATTATTCTTATTAATCTATTTATTATATCATCATTAGGTATTCAGGATCATTCAAACCCAGTAAGAGTGAGCCTGGGGAGGGAGTTAAGCCCTTGGAACGAGGCTACGAGCAACCAGCATTTTATGTCTCACCACACAAGCCCCCGAAAGCTGAAGAGACAATGGCGTAGAGGAAGGCACTACTAAGTGACTCTTGATACTTGAAGAGTCTTTGAGGATGCATTGACACTGGTCAGCGGTCATTCAAATAAAACGATGATTACAAATGTACAAAGAAGAATTTGAATCAAKACAATATGCCGAGTGATTGATTGGACAATATCAAATCACCATAGAGGACTTATCTGCKGTGGAAGGCACCGGAATTTGATTTATACCGAGATTTATATGAAATGTTCAGGCTMAAAGTGAAATGTACATACATCGTTGCAATGATTGCGTTAAAATCTGTCATGCTTTAACTTAAATGAATGTTTTATATTGTAATTTCAGTTTGCATGGTATTTGGAAATCAAGAACGATCTGAACGAAGAAATTATACCGTTAAAATGYAATTCATTTTTCATATATAGCTTTCATAACTTTGCAATGTGCAGCGACGCCATTTTGTGCAGCGAAGCATGATGGTAGTTGTAGTACTCGCACTTATTTGAGACTCTTAAATATCTCCTTAAGTCGTTTTTACATTTTCTTAGTAGAAACAGTAGAACTACTTCTATTTTTGATTAGAAACTGCAAAAACTGCTAAGAAGGACTTTTGTAGCGGACATAAAAAAGTACGAGGACTGCAACTATACCATCATGCTTTGCTGCAAAAAATGGCGCCGCTGCACATTGCCCAATGGGTGCATGCTGTTTTGTATGGAACAATACGAGAGAATTCTTTCCAAAACGACCGAGTAAAAGCCCAGGGCCAGTTTAACGAAGGGTGATAAAGCTATCCACTTCAAAGCCGATTCTGTAGATTCTATCAGCTCGATAAGGATTCTGTGGATAGAGCCATTCATCCTTYAAACAACCGGCCTCTGCATGCACGTATTTCATTCAGAATTTCAATTTCTCTCGAATAATAAGAACATTTAGCTGCAATGAAGATTAAAATCGTTTGAATACTTTGTAGTATAAATGATATTAATAAAATACAACTTAAGTCTGAAGAACAGACTAGACGAGGAGCTATCTTGTATTGAGGTCTTGGGAGATTGCGTTTTACTTTATAAATTGATGGTGGCCGGCTCAATGAAATGGCATAGACCTGCATAGACATATATATCGTTAAAGGATGAAGGATGATCCGAATTACTGTTTTCAGTCGTATATGGTTATACGATAAATACTGTCATGTGCGCTTTAGCATGCTTTATACAAATTTTATTTTTAGATTGAACTGAATGTTTAGATTTTACAGTAAATCATCTTTTAAATGGACGACGATAATTCATTTCTCAAGTTAATACGATCAGAACCTTGAAACGTCATAATGTATGCAGAAAAGAGTTCTTCACTTGGTACGCGCATGTTTTCTTTTYCCTGATCTCAAGCTATCCATCTGCTGWCCCTGGTGATCAAAAAATATGCAAGACTTTCAAAGATGGCCTCGATATGTCATGGTCGATAGGACGAAACACGAAAGCGAGGTCTCAAGGCACAGCCCTCATGACTGCCATATTCACTTCTCGAATTTTCACCATTTTTACCGTCGTYCTTGTACTTTCGATAGTTGATAGCCCAGTTACTCGTTTTATTCAGCTTTTTGTAAGAATTTGTACAATATAAAGGAGCAACAATTTGTAAGATTCCATTGAGAATTTTCAAACGCGAAAATAACGAAGCTTTCTTATATAAGTCCATCATGTGGCTTGATCTGATCAAGAGCATCCGATGTGAAGCGAGTTAGGAGTCTGGGTACGAGAATGTAAGCAGCTACTGCGTGGGACTGAAAGGTTAGATTTTTAGATCACCAAATTAGGAAACCGGACAAAAGGAGAGTCTGCGACGGAGTCTRGAATCTTTTAGGATAATATATAGCCATATTACAATTCAATAAACTTACCACCTGATGGTTTTCTGCGACTCGCTTACGCTTCTTGGTCTGTTTTGCATGAGAATTAATTACTTCTGGTATTTCGATGAGTTTTTCTGGTTYGTCAACTGTTTCTTGTGTTTTYGTTAACAGTTCRGTAGGTTGTGCTTGTTCTAAATCGTCATTATGGTTGCTGCAGTGTGTTACTTCATTGTTCAATTCAACAGAACTCTCCTCTTCTTTTTCATCGTCAATCGTGCCGGAACTGTCTTCTTCTTCTTCTTCGCTAGTTTCTATAGCAATGCTGACATCACAGGAATGAGCAGCCGCACATCCATTGTCTTTTGTCCTCGTGTTGCATGCTGGACTTCCTGTCACGTGGACAAATCGCCTTTCTTCGGGAATCGTCGTAAAAAACTCGTCAACCCGATCGCTTAGAGGGCTATCARTGTGTGGTTTAYTGTTGAGTTGCTGAGAATCATGCAAGTTATTATATAAGGAATGATATTCCCAAAGATTGGAGTTCCCATATGAAGATGAACTCGTACYATTTACTCTTTGTTCGCACTGMGTGGAAGGATGACTGTTTCCAACGTGAGTATTYTGTGGAGATGTGCTCTACAGTAATAAGAACAAAATCATTATAATGACGCATCGTATTCAYTCYAATCGAAGACCCATCATCTTGAATCTCTTACGTCACAGTGATGTCACAATCGAAGATTTTTTTKGAAGACAGAAATAAAGAAWTTGRATTCTTATAAAAGMCGCGTGTGAAGAAAAGTTTCGTGAGAACAGCGCACATATGCTAAATAGCATATGTAAATAGCATACAAAATACTAATATACTAAATAGCATACAAAATAGAACAGAACACTAAAAACGATGAGAATTCATTTTCCATTGACTTACCTTTTCAATGTTCCACTTTGGATAACACATGGCATCTTTCTCTCCATTGTGAAATTCGCTRAACACAGTGTCAGGTTTATTCATCTCCTGCATAGYTAGTACACTACTTGTCGATATTCCAAGCTCTTCAGCACGCGCCTCCCATTGAAGCTTTATGTTACGATCCTTTAACGACCTACTGGACCACATGTCAAATTCCCYTGGAGACTGTYCATCGGAGTTTCGCGAGGATCCACCAAGGTTATTTCCAGGAAATTGCGAATTTTGCATCGGTGGTCTATTGCCCCAGGATGGAATGCCATTTAGAAATAAGCTAGCAGATTCGCGTTGGKTTCGAGTGTTGCTTGATTGCARAGARCTCCAGGGTAAATATTCTTCTCCATCGTAAAGAGCCCTGTACAGTATGTCATTGGAGCTGTTCTCGTGATTTGACATCAGTACTTCTGGTTCCTACCAAAAAAAAGTGAACATTATATAATTCACACTACATTTCCATGACATCGCASCAACAACAATACAAAATAACCCTACAAAAAAAACCTACCTTGCTAATGCAAACAGTGAAATGAAGTAACAAAGTGAATGACGTAACAAACGACGCAAGACGCATGCGCTAAAGACAATTTTTTAAGAGKCTCGAGCTGCGCATGAGTGGCATTTTTGCTCAAAATATACTGACATCTATCCATGGGCTTCATTGAAAACGATTAAAGTCGACCAGAAATCTAATGTGAAAGTACCCAGTACGACATTTATGTCGAATTTACGGCAATTCACGCCAGCTTAGTTAACATGCAAAAAAAAAAAGAAAAAAAAGAAAAAAAAAAGTTTTTATTGTTCACTTTCATTTTTAATTTTTTTTTTCTAATTTGAGATTCTGCTAATACCTTGGTCAACCATATAATATCTAAATCACCCTAAAATTCAATGCAAATCTTTTGTAATATCATCTCATTTTCATTGAGGTCAGCACATAAAAGGCCTCGACTGACCGAGCTTGGGTGTGCAGTTGGTTTATATAACATACCRTCTGCACGTAGCTGGGTAAAAACTCTTTTGTTATCAAGCTTATATGAAATATCTATGATGTTCTTACCTAGTGTTCGGCTTACAAACTCGGTTACCTGCGATCAYCCATACTAATGAGCAAAACAATTGGCATGACGTCACAGTCAATTCATGCTTACGTCACCATGACGTCAAAWAATATAAAGAACTCAAAAATTAATTAAAAGTTAGAATTACAAAATGTAGATATCGTTATAGAATTATTCTAGTATTTAACAAGAAAGGATGGATTTTCGAGACTGATCGAAATATTCACGAGCGCTGGCCCCCTCCAACATCCCTTTATTTCACCGATGATAGCTGAGATGTTCAATTAAATGTCAACCTTGTAACAATTGCGTTCAGTGATCGAGGAACTACTATCGCCGATAGGTCTTCCGGTGCAGCTGCACGGGACATTATGTAGAATAATTTAACTCGTCGCCTCAGAGACAAAATGACTATTTCTAAATTTAAGAAGTCTTTAAACCTTTTMCAATTAGCTTTGAATTAATTCTTTTTGGACTTGAGTCAATAAACATCTTTTTGTAAATTTAACATTAAATGATTAAGTATTATAGCACAATTTCTTTTCACTGTTTAAAGCGCATGAGATCATGAATTTTTTCTTTGCGCTATATATGAAATAWCATAATTATTATTATTATCATTATTCATTGCTTAGATACCGGCTAAATTGCCATRATTGAGACCGACGCATGAAGATAATATGTCGTTACTAAATTGGTAGTAGCATGTAGTAGTGTTATTGTACCGCAGATCTGACAATGATGAATGCTTTCCATCCACCAAAAATCGATCGTTTTGATCGATTGAACCATTCCCATGAGATTCAATGGCMATGTTGGAGAATTGAACAATAGATATAATTATCTATCTATCTATTTACACCTACTTGCAGAAACGTTGTCATAGAAAATAGAACATTTGAATTTAGTAAAAAGGAAAAAATTAAAACAAGACAAAAGAAAGCGTTCTGCCTCAGTGATCTTCTTTTGTCTTTTTTAATTTATCCCTTTTTTACTAAATACAAATGTCCTATTTTCTATGACAACGTTTTCGCAAGTAGGTGTATCTATCCAATTTGTTGAAGATCCTCCAAGATGGCCGCTGTGACGTATGATGAAAAGGTGTTACTATGCAAATGTCCATGCTCGTCGCTCCAGTGATGCAAGATGATCGGTCATTGCATCGCTCAATCACGTCTGATTTTCTTCGTTTCTGGTCATTGTGCTCTCAATAATTTTGTCTCAATAATCATTGATGAGTTTAGAGCTAATGTTCGTGCTTTTTACGTTTTTTTAATTCGAATAAGAATGTAAAGTTGTCAATATTCAGTTCATTTCTAGGTTTTTCCTTACAAAAGTTTCTTACTAAGCGCACGAGTTTTTGACTGATATGTTCTCTTTCACTGGCTCGTTTATTTCAGTGAAACATGGAATTCTAACCGCGGACTGACATTGTGGATTGAGCTCAGTCTTTTAGGCAATTCTACTAAAACAAATGAAAATATTATTACTAGAATACTGAATAAATAGATGGGCTTACTCACATTTAAGATCACCATATGAAAAGTATTTTTTAGTTTGATGATTGATTATCAAAATGATATYTTTTCATGATTATATTGATACAATTGACATAAAAAGTCAAGAATCGTGATAAATCCAGAAATTCAAGAATTGAGACTTATGAATCAGCCATTCAGCGCTCACCACGAGCCGACCAGCTATGAGCTAACTCATGTCACGTGATAACGTCGCACTGAATTTTAGGTAGAAAACKTTCTGCAGGTGTTCTCGAGGTAATTACGCTCACAGACTGTCCCAAAATAACACAGAGAAGAAACGACACCTAGAAAAGTTCAAGAGTCGAYTCAAAGACTGTGTAGAGAATATTTTTTGTGCTTTGAAAGGGTCTTTATCAGGCGAGAATCCACAGCAAGCCCGGTAAGTAGAGCTCTTCATCCGGGGTTCTCGAATTATGCACGAAGTTATGTTGACAAACAGTACGTGTCGGGCGATCGGTTCTTCCTTGGAAAAATATTGAATTTACATCTTAATATTTCGCAAATTGTATGTTCTATTGGACAGAACAACACGGCGTCTTATAAGGATCCTTTTTTAGGCGTAAAGAGCTAATTTTGACGACTTCCTCGCTTTTGGGGAAATTTCACTTCAGCAGGCTTCCACAACATGGATGGCGGTGAGCCCGGCGATGGGTTTGATCCATGTGAATGTGTTTACACTTACGAAGGAGCGATGAGGAGACTAATCTCACTAGTATGTATACATTTTCGTCTATGTGTTATTCTTATACACCCTTCGAATTGAGAATTTCAAGGAATAGATTCCTATTTTAGATATGTCGATTCAGCTGTTGTGGTGTTTACATGTAGGCTCAGTGAGTCGTAGTGGRCTAACAACGTATTTCGTTTTTATGTACTCAGCTAAGATCCTCTCAGAGCTACTGCACTGATAACCAATGCCTCCAAGAACGTAAGTTTTCCTARTCTAATCGCACTTGTGGTTATTCATTAACTTGTGCTGGTCATATTTGTGTTTTTTTTAATATAGACGTCTAGCCGGATTATATAACACATAACTTTAATGTTCACATGATAACTATGATTGCTGCTCTTGGAGATTTCTCTATGTTTATCTTCATATAATTACAATATCAAAAAAAGATCTATTTGCAGTTCTCTTACATCTTGTGAAACGATCCAGTGTAACATAATAGGTCATTTAATGAATTGAAACGGAAGGAAATGGAATTGGTTTGAAAATAGCTTACTGTACATATAAGTAAGCTTATACAACTGTAATTCTATGAACTACAACATCTACGATCTTTTGAAGGGAAAACCTTGGACAAAATAAGAAATTGGACCGATTGGCATGTGGCAATACTAGCAATTGATTAGTATATATTATTAAATATCTATTAATACAGCCTTTTGCAAAAATTATGAGAATTGCTGAAATATCTAAATATCATAATATCAAGTGCATGATCCCGCGCGATGCCCTTAGTCTCTTGCCTTTGTTGTTTAGTTTTATTATCCGTAGTTCTGAACATTTTCTTGATGTCAACAATGAATTATTCTAGCAAACCCGCGTGTTCCGGACAAAGTGTGGATATGGATATTATGATATTTAGATATTTAGACAATTCTCATAATTTTTGCAAAAGGCTGTATATTATGTATATTTGTAAAAACAGTCTCCTGGAGGTTCCCTGTGCCATCTACATGTAGAATGGTGGCCGTGTTTCACATCGAAGCGAGACRACCTTTGAGTGTCAGTAAATGATAGAAACCTTCATTTACAGCTTTCACAGGTGTCTATCATCATCGTTTCATTTTGATGCAAAGGCTCAACTACCTTTCAAGATGGCTCAGGGAACYGGAAACATTTTGTTGGGTGCATTAATGRTCATTTCTTGTGTGTTTAGGTCTTTTCTCGATAGAAGCCAGTTTGCATATAAATTTTGAAAACTCGTGTTCATTAAACATATTCTTGAGTTTGATAACGAGTTACATATAAAGTTTAAACTACCATATCAACTACCCTKTATATCAATTAATTTGGAAATATATGGTTAGAATAATGAATTTGAATGATACTAACGTAATGTTTTTCAAAACATACAATAAACAAACATGGATACTGCCTTTTTAAAGGCATATTTACATTAAAAAGGAGTGATAGTAGCATGATGAAGTCCAAATTTCAGTTTCCTTGTTAAGTTGCAATAGATGCTGCAGATTTAAAAAGATTAGCTGAATTTATTGATAATTTTGCTAGTAAATAAGTAAATAATTGCCAATTGAGTCAATTTGTTGCTGCTTTATAAGTATATATTTTTCTTTTCTTGCACAGTCCCAGGACCACAACAGGGAAACTCGACAGGACCAGAAGGAAATAGTACAACATTGTTTTTAATCATGGCTTGGATTGCAATCGCATTTATTCTCTTTCTTTTAAGGTTAGTCAGTCTGAACAATATACAGTATGAAAATAGCAAGTACATATGATATTACTGATTTCTTTTTAATTAGCAATTTGAAATAAATATAATTAGTGAAGTGTATTGTGATCAATAGTGAATTTCAAAGKCTTCTTGCAACTTTGTGTGATTTATAAAATAATACGTACATAAGTTCCTGTTATTATAATGTATATTTATAAGGGAGGGGGAGAGGAGATCAAATTGTTTTGAAACCTTTTTATGTTGCACGTAACTTGATATATATAATCAGCATAAATATTKTTTAAACCGTTCAAGGTGTGAAATGCATACTATTATATGGCTATGGCCATTAACATAACATAATTCTGGTGTCTTTTTTTCAAGTGACTTGGATGTTGTACCAAGTAAAACTGTCTTTACTTTGTTTTGGTATTTTGGACCCCATAAAAATACTGAATGGATTTAAGCTGGTCATATCCCACAGAAAAACAAATAGTAGCTGAATAAATATTAGCTTTTTCAATTTCTTATATATGAAAATCTAAAATCCAACTAGAATAGTTATTGAATATTGTATTTTTGTTTTTAGGCCTCAAAGATTAAGACAAGGAGGTGACAAACCCACAAGTCGTGAAGTAAGTCCAATCAGGTTCTTCTCTCATTGGCTGGATGTTTGTTAACCTTTCAGAGACTGATTACAATTGCTTAGCAACTTGCAATTATTATAATGATTGAATGTACTGAAGGTTGCTAGCATCTTCATTTGTTTTTAAATTCATTGATTTGTACATGTATGGTAGGAACTATTCTGAAATTCAGTAATAAGATTTASAGAATATATTTTTAATAAATATAGGATATTACATTGTCACGTAGAAATACGGATTTWATCTTGAAGTGTTAAAAAGATCTCTCATGAGTGAGTGAATGAGGGAGAGATTTTCAACACGAGAAGATAGAATTCACATCTCCAAGTGACCATGTAATATTCTGTTTATCATATAATTAAATATGAAAGCAAATTATGTCGTGAAATACCTTTTTTCTTACTTTCACTATAAAGAAACCTCAATGTGTTATTTTCACTAGTAAAATATCAACTTTACGAAATTGGAGAAATAGAGGATATTACATGGGCACGTGGAGATACAGATTTTATCTTTGAGTGCTGAAACGCTCAATCGTGAGAGATTTTCAATGCAAGAAGATAAAATTCGTATCCCCAAGCGAACATGTGATATTCTATTTATCATATAATTTTATTTGAAAGCAAATTATGTCGTAAAATACCTTTTTTCTTTCTTGCATTATATAGTCATAGAGAAACCTCAAATGTGTTATTTTCACTACTGAAAATATCAATTTAACAAAATGGAGAAATATAGGTATTTCATAGATAATTATATGATTTGTTTATTTTTTTTTTTTTTTTTTCGTTTTAAGGGACCAAGTCAAGATCCACCTGCACCTGGTGTTCTCTAAGAATATTCTTATTTATTAATTCCAACAATAAGTTAAGGTGAAAAACGTTTCATAAAACCTAAAATAGTTATATAAAAAGTAGAAGTATTAAGGCAATATAGCACTGCAGTATTTTTCTTTTTTCGTAAAAACTGCTCAACATCAGTGTGACTTTAACTATCAGTTTAACTATTATGATCTGTCAATGCTAGGCATCGCTTTATAGTATTAAATTATTACACTTATTTCAGTCTTGGCTTATGGCATGAAAATGTCAGATAGTACTTTCCTCAGAATATGTYTTTTTAAAAATGGTCAACCAAATAATATAATTTTGAACAGAATAGTGCAGGCAAAATAACATGSACTGTTTGATATAATTTAGTACATGTACACAGTTTACATTAAAATGAAAATGAATTGCAYGATAAAAGATTATAGATATCATGAAATATTGTTGAAGTAAGCAGTGAAATACTCTATGTGTGCATAATTTGCTTTTCCAATGGAAAGTGCACTTTCTTTTGTAAATTAGATGCTTTGAATATTAACTAAACACACATTTAACACTATAAAACTGCTGTCAATCATTTAAACAGCTTTGGCCATAACTGACATTTTCTTTGAAAATTTTGTGGGCTGGTTGCTTAGCAACGGTRCCAATTTTCACTTATAATGATAATGTGTCCAATCTGGATTTTTTATTGCAAATATATATGTTTTTGCAATCTGTATTACTTGCGTCACGGCGGGCCATTTTGTGGTTCATTGACGAAGGATTACCTACTGTATTGTCTAGACCACGAGCATTGCCTCTTTTCTTTTGACTTTTCTCAAAACATCAACTGATGTGAGCAGAATTTTTCACAAGATGCATGGCATCACTTTCAATTCTTTTTTCCTCGACCGTGAAATGCTTTCAGACAAATACTGTGGGACAAACGGGGATAGAATTTTTACCAACACATGCGATCGCCATCTTGTCTTTCATAATTCTTTTAATGTATATAGTTAAGACAGATTTGTTTTTTTTTAAACAGATCTAATAGAGAAGTACATTTTGATGTTAGCACGGAAAGTAGTTGCTTTTTCAAAACATTAAATTATTTCATTCAAATAAGATCTATATATTCATGTGAGAACTTGTACACATTGGAGGTATTCATAATTCGACAAGATGGCGACCATTTTSGTAAAGTATTAATTGTATAGTTCGCAGATATGTTATATAATAATCATTTWTTTGATAAGCAGTGGGTTTATCCAGTGCTTAATAATTGTAAATAGATGTCGCAATACTGTAAAATTTCTTCCCAAAAACGGTGATTAAAACTTCACAAATTTTGTTCAATCTTTGTTGACCTCTTGTGATCTTTAAAATGTATAGTTGGTTGGAGGTTTATTTTTTGTACAGTGAGCTCTCAGAATTTTAAATTCTATGACCTACAGCTGCATCAAATGTTCTTCCTCGAAAAAGAGTTGGCGGCTTGGATGGTTTGAAAACTGCTACCAGTTTAACCTGGTTTCCCCTTCACTGCCAGTTGTCTGGTAAGGACGAGTAACATAATAACATAATAACATTTTCATGCACTCTATAAGTCGTCTATGCTCTCTTCGACACACTCTGCTGTCTTTTTCAATGTTTCCAGTGCAGTTTTCATTGCTACGTTGGCTTGGTCCTGCAGCAGTTTCTTCGTAGTCTGTGTTGCCTCTTTCATAAATTGTGGTATGCTGGGAAGGAAGTCTGTGGCACCATCGCACTCAAGAGAATTTGCTGCTGGGAGGAGACTTACTAATGGCGAATCATATCTGAAAAGTAATYAATCATGACGAGTCATTTACTTATAAGACAGCTCGTATCAATAATATTATAATAATAAGTATGTTTAATGACTGACATCGCGGATGTACTGACTGAAGGGCGACGGCATGACCCTAATCTCCGGATTCTGGCAAATCTATTACTGCCAATGGCCTTCTCTAGTGTCATATAGCTCACTTATATATAACTAGATTCCTGGACACAGGTTTAGTAAAAATGTACTCACTTATCAATTGTGTCCGGACGTGAATTTGGAAGAGTATCCTCATCACCATCAGCTGTTTCCTTTCCTTGTGTAGCACAAGGGTTAAGATAATAATCTTTTACTCCTGTTTGCTCATCAATTACTAAACAAATGCATGGGTTGTCCTGYAGACACAAAACGACGTATCACTAAGCATTCAAAACAGGCACTTCAMAATTCTCTGCCGTTTGGACCGATGTTGGAATTCCCCCAAGATAGCCACTGTGACCTATAGTGAAAACGAAGAATATTACCCGCCAATTCCCRCGCTTACATTACCTCAGAAATATTCTTTTCCATTTCAGTAGCTAATCTCTCAGCAATGTCCACAAATTGAGGTCTCTCTTCCGGAAKCTSCAACCAACAGTCCTTCATAATTTGATAAATCTCAGGAGGACAATTCTCAGGCTGCTCCATTCGTCGACCCTCTCTTAAATAGTCTAGCAGTTGTTCCGTTTGTAGAGCAGGGTARGGATTTCCACCAAGAGTGAAGATCTCCCACAAGACGATCCCAAATGACCATCTAKTATGATAAAATGCATTGGTAATTTAGGTCAGGAGCACAGTGCCGATATTCATCTAAGTGCATACTGTGCAAGCCCTATCCTAAGAGTACTTAGTAGGGGTAGATCATGGAACCAAACATGTGAACACCTCTTATATAAGCTCCCGTTGGGTTTCCTGTGTACATCAACTGAGGTAAGCCCATGAGAAACGTTCAGTTATTGAACTATAAGCCAGAAACCAATGAAGGATGCCGAATACTGGCTGAACAAAGACAAATCTGCTTAACCGATTGGCTGCGTCAAGGAAAAAACTAACTAATTGGTAAAATCAAAACCGCACTTTTTGTATCTCCCGTCCACAATAAAGCGCTTTGTAAATGGCTATAGTTTTTGTAATCTATGTCCTGTTTAGTCGCTAACCACCAAGCCCTTACAACTTGTCTATACGCAGTAAGAGCATTGTCTAAAGGAGGACCTTTAAAACATACTTACACATCACTTTTTTCAGAATATACACTATCAATCAGCGACTCCATAGCCATCCACTTGATWGGCAACAGTCCGCTGGTTGTCGTTACATACAGATCTTCTTTATCAATGTCACGTGCAAGACCAAAATCACAGATCTTCATGATGAAATCCTGTTCCACAAGTACATTGCGCGCCGACAGATCGCGATGAACACACTGAAAAGCAATCATCCAATCAATCATTTATTATTAGTAAGCACAGCCAAAGTAGTTTCATGGTAAAGTGCGTTGAGTCCCAAGGCATGACCCCTTGTCTCTTCTCAACAGTAAACATTTTGGTTCTATTTATCGTCGTGATCTTATTTTTGGTGATTATCAAATTACGGTGAAAGTTAATTCAATTATACCTTATTTGAAGCAAGGAATTCCATACCACGTGATATTTGATAAGCCGCCATTGCTAAGTCGACAACGGTGAACTCCTCCTCAGGGTTGTTCGAAGTCTTCACCCAGTTTGGTTCATAGATGTCACGTCGCGCCCTCAAGAATGA